AGGAAGTACCCAACCCTAAAGGAAACCATTACCAGGACGTACCCAACCCTAAACCAAACCATTACCAGGAAGTACCCAACCCTAAAGGAAACCATTACCAGGACGTACCCAACCCTAAACCAAGAGGGTGCCACTTGTTCTGAAGCCCCTGTTACTGGTCCTCCACACATGTATTGGTTTGTCTGTCTGTTAGCAAAATATCTCTTGTAACATTGGACAGATTTTGCTGAAACTCTCAAAGTAACCAGTGACTGTGGATCTGCAGCCATTTAACTTTTAGTCTTTTTAATCCAAGATGGCTGCCACCACTGATCAACTTTAGCAACAGAAAAATATCAATAACTCGGTCAATTTTACAGGTATTGAGCTGAAATTTGGTGTGGTAGTAGCTGAGAGTCATCTCCACCATGTCTTCTGAACATTAACAAATAGTTTGAGGTCTTTGTTTAAAAATTGATGTGCGTGAGTTTATCTACAAGAAGTTTGAATAGCTGTGCGGCCATCTTGAATCAGGCTTATGTTTGGGTTGCTCACATGTTTTTATTTGTTCTTCAGGTGTCGGCTGATGTCCATTCAGAAGGACAGGAACCAGAACCATGGTCATTTTGCAGCAGGTAAACACGCTCAGACACCAAATCAGACAGATCAGTTTCATCTTTAGGAAGTTGGTTCTCTCTGTGACGGCAGCTTTTCCTGCAAAAATAGATTTTCTGTTTTTGTTCCCACTTTGTCATTGAACAAAGAGGGAAATGATCCATATCTAAAGGTACTGAATGTGTTTTGTGTGTAAAAGTGGGTCATGTCGGCCTCTTGGAGACAAATGAGCTTCTCTGTGGTGGAGTTACGAGTGGGCTGGGCCCAAAACACAACAAAACTCATAGGTCAGCTCTCACCGGTTTTTAGAGCTTCTGCTTACAACGTCAGGTCAGACTGCGCAGCTGAAATTAAAGTGGCACACGAAACTGGATGTTCTTTTTATCTTTTAAACAAGGAAGGATAAAGAAATGCGGATCAAGCTGCAAACGGAACGCAAGAGTTTGGATTCGTGTGAATTCTGAAGATTCTTTTTTTTATTAAACACACTTGAAAATATTTAGATCTTTTACTTGAAATAAGAATTTATTTTAAACTTTTACATGAAACTTTTGTGCCTCGTGGAAAAGTTCTGAAAACATTTAACTTAAAAAAAAAAAAAATCAGTTTTGAGTAGGGTCTCACTCCGAATAGTGCGCAGATATTGATGAAGTAAGGATGCCAATGAAACTGAACCAGAGTGGATCTGATTGGCCTCTGGAGGGCTGGGATCCAAACATGCGACGCCTGAGCTACAGATACAACACGCTCATCAAGGTAAAGCCTGGTCACACTCACAGAAAGACATATTTGTAAATGTAATTATAAACTGTCTATAATCAGCACAATGTGATGATTAAAGACAGAAATCAGAATTGATATGTAACACATCAGAACCTGCTGAGTCCCAGATGTTCTGATGTGAAAGTGGCGATGCTGTTAAAAAAACCAAGTCTCGTTCTCAAGATAAGACACATGGGGAGGGAAGACTATAAGGCTTTAAACAATCAAAACTTTTAATAACAAAAATGAATTTTTTATGTTTATCATGTTGATCTAATCCAAAAACACACAACAACAAAAAAAGCACAACAAACACAATCTTGGTTCTCAGGAGGATAAAATCTGTTTTTATGGTTTCCAAACATCATCAGGTTTTATGTTCCTCACACTTTTCATGGTTTCCCCTGATTTACTGTAAATCTGGTGTTTAAAGCCAAATAATTTATTTGAAAAATAATGAGTTAAAGTTGATGAAAGCCTGATTGTTTCCTGTAAAATTCCACAGTAATGAGTTTTCTTTCAGCTTCACAAACTCTGTGAGAGCAGGACTGTTAGATTATGCAAGTGTGTGTCTCTGTGTGTGTGTGTCCTTGTTTATGCTACTTTGTGAGGCCCATTTTTCCAACTTATACTGCATTGTGAGGACCAACTGCTCCTTATGGGGCCCAAAGCCCAGGCCCCATAAGAAGAAGTCCCGTTGGTGGGTTAAGGGCCTTGCTCAAGGGCCCAGAGTGGGACGAATGTTGGTGGGGGCAGGTGTGGGTGCTTCACCTACTCCACCCACATTTTTGATGTTGTTAGTAATGGAGCTTGAACCAGCGATCTTCCGATCACAGGCCCACCTTCTCTAACCTCTGCACCACCACTCCCCATACTATATATTATATATATATAGTATGTAATATATAGTTATATAATATGTTATATAAGTATAATCTGTCAATTTCCTTCTTGTAATTTAAGCTTCTTTTTGCTTTTCAGCTACTTCTCAGCTATTTTTTGTTCATTTCAGCTTTTTTCAGATAATTTCCACTTTTTTTGCTTCTGCTTCCTTCAGTCTAATTGGGCAAACACATGTTTCTTCTTTCTTGTGCCAATTTAAGCTTGTTTTACTTTTTCAGCAGACTTTTTAGGTAATTTTAGCTGTTTTCATATAAGTTCAAGTTTTTCATGGTAATCTCTGCTACATTAATCCCAATTAACTTTTTCTGTTAATTTTAGCTTGTTATGCTCCTTTCAGGATTTTCTACTAGTTTCAGCTCTTTTTTTTTTTGTCATTTCAGCTACTTTTTAGCTGTTTTGTGCCAAAATTAGCTTTTTCAGCTAATACTGCATTTTTTGCTCATTTCAGCTCTTTCCACTTCCTTCTAGTATTTTAAGTTTCTTTTTGCATTTTCAGCCTTTTTTTTTCAATTTTTTGTTGTAGCTAATTTCCTAATTTATGTGCTCATTTCTGCTTATTTAACCTAATTCAGCAAATGTGTGTTCCTTCTGCTTCCTTCTGCTAACTTGGGCTTGTTCTTCCATTTCAGCTACATTTCGGCATGTTTTTAGCTAATTTCAGTTGATTTTCAGCAACGTCTTCAGCAATAAGTATTCACACTGCATGCTCTTAGAAATGCCATTTCTCTAGTTTATTTAAATTAATAGTGTTTGAAAGCTGAAGCCCAGCAGAGGGCAGACTCACACCGACAGATGAACATTCAAAGAGCTCCATCAGTCCAGTTTTTACTTCAAAAGTAATGAAATACATGAAAGTCACATGTAGGCCACAAAGCGAGCCTTAAATCAGGACGTTAACAATATAAACTGTAACTGTTCTGGAAAAAAAAGAGAGAGATATTTTGCACCAAAGATCAGATTCAGATTAGAAAAACTAAAATGAACAATCAGAAATCAAAAAGTGAGGAATTAAATTAATTATTTTAATCATTTGCTTTGAAATCACAACGGCATGGTGGAAATACGCAAACTATGTGAGGAAAATGGGTTTTTAATTTAAATTGAGTTAAATTAATTAAGTTTTTGTTCACCTCTTTGGCAAAATTCACTTGAATAATTTGGATTTATATGAGGATATTTGTAATTACTTTAAAATGCGTTACTTTAAATGATCAAATAGTTATTTTGTCTGTGGCGTAAAGCCATTTCTCTATATCAAATGTTCAGTACGTCCCTTTTCCCTTCTGCTCCTCCATAAATGCACGAAGTGTTTGCTCAGCGAAGCAGAAAGAACAACCGGAGTATCGGATCTTTTATGGCCACTTTGATTCAGGCACAAATACCAGAACTATTATCTTGTCACCATATTTCAGCCTGTGACCTTTGAACTGTTAAGTCCTCCATCTAAATGCAAATGAGACCAACTGGGAGGACATTTATGGCTCAGAAGAATGAAAAATTGGTCTCAGATCTTGACCTTCTTTTAGTACAGAGAAATCTTTATTTGTTTAATTGAGCAGAGATGATTTAAACCGTTCCTGTGACTGTTTCACCAAAATGTTGGTGGATACTTTAGATAAAAATACAACAAAAGTTATGTTGTCACAGAAAATAAACACCAGCAAATATTCAACAGCTGACTCAAGTAGAAGTACAGAAACTACAAATTTAAACAAGTTTAAAAAAATTCATTTTCAACACCAAAATATGACTTGGTATCACTTGTTCTGTTATTTTTGGGGACTTTTCACGGATTCAGCCAAATAAATCAAAACAAACGGCCTCTCAGTGAGCGGGAAAAGAACCTAAGGATGAATGAAATTTAATAGTTTTAGTCGTCTGTTTCATGTCAACACAACTCTGGTTCATCCTTAATAAGAAAATCGTTATAAATCAAGACTCGTACTCAAAACTAAATGTGATATCAAGTGTCAATTAAAAAAGCTCAGTTAAGTTGGGTTTTTATTTTGGAACAAATGATGTCATTCTTTAAAAATGAACCGTCTGTGGTGGAGGAACCTTTAAAGAACCACCTGTTGTGCATGGACCGCTTCACTTGTTGAGGAGGAGGCAGTAAGTTTACTATGTTGAGAGGATGAGGAATAAATAAAATAGAGTGCAGAAGTTAATCAGACTGTGAAAAGACAGAGTAGAGCTGGAGCACTGAGCAACAATTGCGCATGTGGCCCCGCCCGCCCTGCTTTTATCACACATCTTAGGATTTACAGTTGACCCACAACAAGCGACGTAATGGAGCTGGAAAGTGTAAAACTAAAGCTAAAAACGGGAGAACTCACTCTGCAAAGCCAGCACAGTGACACCTGCTGCGTGTCAGGTCAGGTGCACGCTCAGGTCCGAACAGCTGGTTGAAAGAGGTAAAAAAAGGTCTTAAGCTTCAGATGGACAACCGGATCATCGGCCGTGCGCGTCTGCTGACTGGCCAATTGAAAGAGGTTAAAAAAAGTTGCGCTAAGCAGAAAAAAGCTTAAGTTTTATTTATTTATTTATTTATTGGGGGGGGAGGGGGGGCTGTAATAAATTCGGACTTAGAAAAAATACCATACAGGCTAGGGCCGGGCTGGGTCAGATGTTTTAGGCCTGAATGCAACTCTACGTTCTATGACCAAAAGCTGCGGATGTTTAAAATGCTTCAGTGTCTTTAACTGGTCTGATATAATTTTGTTGGGTTTTAAGTGGAAATATTGTGTTGCTGCTTCTGCAGGGCTCTCTTTTAATCTCATCAAGGTTAATTCTGTTAAAACAAAGGTTAAATAAATATTTTTATTTATATTCTTTGAGTTTAGGAGCCTTTAGGTCAGAGTTAACGAACTCGGCAAAACAAACTCAAGATTATAATTTTTAAATGTTTCTGTTTTGAGGTTTATTTTCATGTTTGTTTGTTTTTTGTTTTATTTGTGCTTAATTTGATATTTTTCTACAATTAGCCTCTGCTCCTCAGTCCTGCCACGCCCACCTCACCTGTTCTCCATTCCCATTAGCCCCAGCTGCCGCCACTAATCTCATTAGCTGCAGATTTTTATTCCTTCCATTCTCATTACTCTTCAGTCGTGCATTGTTGAGCTTCAAGCCACATTCGGTCCTCCTCGGTGTACTCCTCAAGTTGTTTTGCTGCCATGTCAGACATTTTGAAAGGTATTGGATCAGTTTTGTGTTGCCCAACCCTCCAAAATCAAAATCACAGTTTTCAGAGGTTTGATTACTGATCAGAAGATTTAGGAATAAATTAATCAGTCCCTTGATTATTAATGTTAAATGCCCATGTTATGGTCTCTCTTTTAAACTTATATTTTTACTGATAAGAATTTAAAATTTGAACAAGTCATTTTTGGGAGGAGGTGGCTACTTCCTGGAGCTTTGGTTTAATAGCTTTCCTCTCGGGAGACATGTCAGCAGCTGCAAGTAAACACCTGTTCTGAATTATTTACCTGAGGAGAGATACCGTTCACCTGCAGCTCTGAGATGACATCACAGCTAACACAACACCGACAATCTGCTCACGGTTTACTGACCAAACTTCTCTGACCCTTCAGAGCCGACAGCCAAGTGGGATCTGTTAAGTCTTTTATGAGTTTTTGTTGTTTAACTCAAGACGCTTTAAATGGATTACCAAATAAATAAATACAAAAAATCCCAATCTATTAGTCTGGGATAATTTCTGCTGTAATCAGTTCATTCCTCAAGATCCATATAAAAACTAATTAATAATGCATAGCATGAACTAAAGTGTAAAATAAACTACCAGGGGTTGTATAAAGGCTCACATTTTCACACAGCTTTAATTTCTCCACATAAGAATCACAAAACACAGAAAATAAACACAATATAACCGTAAACACAAAACAGTGACAAAAAGTCACCACAAACCACAGATACTGACATTACGTCATAAAGTGCTCATTATTTTAGGAGCTGGAGGGTCTTGAGGAGGATGTTCGAGTTCCTCTCATGACTAGAGAAGCAGAAGATGAGATGAATCAACACTTTGGAGAAAACAGTTGTTTTAACGTGACATCGATCCACTTTAGTCTTGGACCCGCTCTGACTTTCAGCTCATCAGTCCTTAAACTCTGATTTACTAAACTGTTCAAAAAGTTATCCATAGCAGGTAAGACGTTAACTGTCGATAACCTCTCTACAGAACCCCACTTTAAAAAGATCCACAAAGTTCCATTAAAAAAACAAAACTAACATTGTAACAACCCCTTATGTGTTGTAACCGAAAGCTCCAGACAAAGAGGTTTTTATTTAAATCAATAAATAAATGAACAAATTAAATAGGAATATTTTTTTAAAGAAAAGAGACAGGAGGACACCCAACAGATCCTCAACGCTAAATAATTGAACATGTGGCTTCTGATCGTTCACCGTGCATCCTGTTCCCTTCTGGTAACTGTGTGTGTGTGTGTGTGTGTGTGTGTGCGTGCGTGCGTGCGTGCGTGCGTGCGTGTGTGTGTGTGTGTGTAAAACAGGTGCTCAGTGGTGTAATGTTCAGGTGGCTCTGTTTGCCAGACGGAGTTTTTACTTAATTAAACAGACATGCGTAACACAACCTCCAACAACTATTCAGCATCTCTCTCTCACACGCACACACACACGCATGCACGCACACACTCACACACACTTCTTGCATCCCTTCAGACAATAAGAAGAATAGAAATACAGAAGCATTTTGAACCTCTGCAGTTCCAGCCTCACACCAGCGTGCACAAACTGAACACACTCCAGAGGATAAATCTACTTCACGATCAATCAAACGTGTTCTTACTCTGTCGGCCTTAATGAAAAGTGACTTTGCTTAGAGGGTTATGAGGTCATCCTCAATCGAAGGGTTGGTAGTTCGATCCCCAGCCTCTGCAGTGTGCTGAAAGGTGAGACACTGAACCATTGCATGTGATCCAGCAGCGCAGCAGCTTAGTGGTTAGCAGCGTTGCCTCACAGCAGTACTGCCAGATATTTATTATATTTGTACAAGTGTTTTAGGGTCTAATCAATTAACGATCAATAGTTTTTGAAAAGCTCAAACATACAATAGTTTGGGCATTTCCATGCACCAAAAAACAAACAAACAAAAAAACAACAACTTGTTTTTATTTATGTGAACTCGTCAGAAAGTCGTATCCGACCAGTCAGAGCATGTGCTGGATAGGTTCAAACCCGCCTCCTCTTTGTGCATGTCTGTCAATCGCACATGCCTCATCTTACACCCCCCCACCCCCCATAGTTAGCCAAGAAAGTGCACCCCCCACCCCTGAATGATAGTGTCCCCAGCACATTCGACAGTTTGGATGGAAATATAGTAATTTTAAAGCAACAGTGTGATATTTTGTCATTTATCTGACAATCCTGCTTCACAACAAGAAGGTCCTGGGTCCAAGCCCCAGGTTGGACCTGGAGTCTGCATGTTGTATTTGTGTGAGTTTTCTACGGCTACTCCGATTTCCTCCATCGTGCCAACACATGATGTTCGGCTGCTCAGGCCCAGGCCTCCTGAGAAAGAGCTTTATGATCTCCGTGGGATTTATCTGCTTAAATAAAAGCTAAATAAAAATATGAAAAGTGCTTTTTACAGCATCTAACATGTAAAGTAGAAAGCACAATATGAGAGTGAGGACCTTTGCAGAACGAAGCCTTTAAGAAGGCTCAGCATACGACAAGCGTGAACATTTACCATCAAAAAGTTTAAAAGAAAAAGTCCTTTTGTTCTTTCTAGAGTCAGAAGGACCTGTTTGGTTATCCCACGGTTTTTATTTTACGGTAAAGACCCGTGGTGGACTCTGCCATGCAGTAATCCAACACCTGACACACCTGAGGAGGAAGCGACACCTGGTTGCCACGGGCGACACGGGAGGGGGAGTGGAGGGACTGGGTCAGCAAAGAGCGTTTGTCAGGGAGGGAGTAAGAGCAAGAGGACTGTCCCAAAATGTCTTCGCAGCCGAAACTCTGAAGACGTCTGAGAGTTCTGGAGCGAGGACAAGAAGCTGAAGATCTTCAGGCAGCAGGGAAGAACTCCAGTTTTCTTCAGGATCACCAGGTCCTGGATGACCAAGAGTCTACATCAGCAGAACAGGAACTCACTTTGAAGCTGTATTTTGTTTATATTTTTTAAACTTGCGTCTTTATTTTTAGAGAGAAACAATAAATTTGAGGAAAATTGAAGCCCAAAATCCAGGATGTAACTTTGTAACTCACCTAGGTTCTAACATCTCTAGAACTCAGACTGTTTTTCTGCATCTTCTTCATCATCAAAGGGAATTTTATCTTTTTTTAAATGAATTCAGGGTTGACAAACAGAGTTGATGCTTTACTGTGATTTAAATTCAAGACAGACGGGACCTGACGATCAACGAAGAAGTCGAACGTTTGACTTTTTCTGACTTCTACACGCGTTCTCAAACTCTGTGCAAAGAAGATCATCAGAAATCTGAAAATAAACACATCACCTGCGGTTCTGGATATTTTTCCATTTCTGTTAGGAAAAGAAGACTTTTTGACACCGGGTATTTTTTGGTTTTGTGCATGTGAAGATGTACAAGCGTCGAGATTACGTGGAGCTCTACGAGAAGGATCAGGCCAAATGGGCGCTGGTTCGCAACGTCAACACAGTGATGAAGCACAGTACACTGCTGCCGGTATGCCGCAAGTGTGTGATGCTTTTTACCTCATTAGGATGTTTTTTTGGTTTTATTATTGAGCCTTCTGAGACCAGAACTCCTGATGAGGACCAGAGTCTTGTCCTAACGAAGCAGAGCATCATTTCCTGGGCACTGTTTGGATTCGACTTTACTGAGTTTTGGGGGTGATTTTTGAATTTCATGAGCTTCTAAAATTTTGGATTGGATTTGTATCACGTAATACATGTGGTCTTTTGTCTTCAATATAAATTGTGTGTCTTTAACTTGTATTTGTGTATATGTAAGTGAGACAAAGTGAAGGACAAAGAGGTCTAAAGTTACAATATTGAAAAGTGGTTTTCTGTTCTTTGTTTGTTTTGAGTCACCAGTAATAATGGTACATCTGGGACCTGTGTTTGGGTATTCCTCCTGTGTTTGTGTGTGTAATTTTGTGTTTTTATTGCTCGTGATGTGAGGACAATGTTTAGTCAAATTGTATTGACCAGTAGAATAATCTTGGTGTGAGGCCCTGACACACAGACGTATAGCATCAGTGTATGCCGGATCTATGAAATGTATGCAGAGTTATGCACAACTTTAGTGTTGTGCCGAACTTGTGCACAGCATGCTGAGGTATACTGTGACGATAAAGCGTCAGATCTCATGTTCTCCAGGCGATTTCAGATAAGATGGTCTGCAAGGCCAACCAAGGGAGCCAAATTCAGATAAACACACAATTGTTTTTGGGACAGGCAAAACTTAATGACATCTACCTTGAGTCTGTGTTGGTCCACTTCGTTCCGAAATGTCCAAATTACATGGCCACACCGATTGACCGTATTTGAGTAAAATCCCCAAGATCTGATCCAATCTGCCAAAAGCATTTGAGTCTGGGTGCTCGAGGCACGAACCATCATAAAGGCAAGCAGCATGATCGGGTCCAAATTTGCTGCAAACGACTTCCTTGATTGTTGATAGACCAGTAACCAGCTGAATCCAAAAAGCAGGAACCAGTTATCATAAACCCAATTATAAATGTGTCCTTAAAATCCTCAAATGGCAGCAGAGATTGACACATCATCAAGTCTTCCAAGTCGATGAGATATCCAGCTGTGTGCGTGCCAACAGGGCAAATTGGCTCGTCTAAAGCCTGTCTTCTCTTTGAAGAAATGTTATCAATTGTGTTGAGGGACCAACTGACCAAATCAAGTCCATAATTATGGTTCGTAAGATATGCAAGAGAGGCTCAGAAGCAGTTTCACAGACAGACAGAGCAGCAAAGAAGAGATGGAGAGGAGGGGAAAAAGTATCCAACATCGGCAAGAGCAAGTGGTGAAGTGAATAATAATCCAGATAGATAAATCTAGCAAGGAGAGAGGAGTTAAGGAAACCATCTTAATGAAGAGAACCCTCTTGTGGAGGGAGGTGGAGGCCTCCATGTTCAACTGTCCCCCTCTCACAGTCCTGTTATTGCAAGTATCTCTCAGTCCTCTGAGAATAGCAGCCATGAGGGCACTAAAGGGCCTAACATACTCTATCTGAAGCCGAACAGGCGATGTACTGTCCCGTGGTTGTGGCATGTTTGTTTTTGCACACATCTTTCGTAGTCCATGAGACAGAGACGCAGAGCTCCTGGCAAACCCTTCCTGCTGCAGTATACGTCACCGCACAGGTTTCTTCCTGCCAGAGCCACTAACAGGACCACATCAAAGTCAAATAGAAGAGAATGAATCCTGAGGCCACCGAACCGGACTCCCTCCACCCCCTGGCTGAACCGAGAAATTCTGTCCTTGAAAGTTATGAACAGAATCGGTGACAAGGGGCAGCCCTGGAGGAGTCCAACTCCCACCCTGAAAGGGTCCGACTTACTTCTGGTAATGTTACCCAACTCTAGCACTGTTTGTATAGTGACCCAACAGCCCATAGCAATGGGCCCACAATCCCATACTCGCGGAGCACCCCCCACAGTGTATCCCAAGGACCACCGTTGAACGCCTCCTCCAAGTCCACAAAACACATATAGACTGGATGGGCAAAGCTCAACGACACCTCAAGGAGTCTGTTGAGGGTAAAGAGCTGGTCCAGTGTTCCACAGCCAGGACGGAACCTGCATTGTTCTCCTTTTGATCGGGTTCCTTGTTATTGTTCTAGTATTCTTTCTTTGTTGTTTCAAGATTTGTTCATGATCCCCACCATGACGCCGGTTGTGTTTTGATTTGATTTCTGTGCAGGGAGACTACGTCTGGTTGGACCTGAAGACTGGACGGGAGTTTGAGGTTCCAATCGGCGCCGTTGTCAAACTCTGTGACTCGGGACAAATCCAGGTGGTGGACGATGAAGGAAATGTGAGTTTATTCACGTTATTAACTCAAAATGAAAGTGTCAAAGAGTGAATCTTTATCTGCACTCACCACCGTCCAGTTTTTATTCATACTGAACTTTACTTTCAGTCCTCTTTTCTTTGTGTCTCATTTCTTTGCAATAATTTGGTGTTTAAAGTTTTAAACACTAGAACATTTATGTATGTCTAGTTTGAGGTGAAACAGTATTTTTTTTCATTTCATCACTTGTCATTTTTTTATGTTTTTTCTGCATTTTAGATAATTTTTAATCTAAACATTCTGTATTCACACGCAATTAACATGATTCTATGCACTGTAGAGAAACACACTGTTTAATTAAATGTGTTTATTACAAAATATTGGAATTGTTGATATATATGTTTTCATTATAGAAATATTGCATCAGTTAAATTTACACATGTTGGGTTTTTATAGTTAAAAAAAAAAAAAGCAAAACTCAAATGAAAAATTCCTTGAGGATTTTTTTTTAGAATTGTTTTAAGAAACTGTAACAAATGTATTTTAGCAAAACAATGTTTCAAACACTAAAATAAGATATGTTAACTTTTGATCAGCAGTAAAAATTATTTGTCTTCAGTAATGAGGTTGTTGCTTCGGTTCATGGTGGTGAAGAAAGAGTTGAGTCAAAAGGCAAAGCTTTAGATTTACTGATCAGTCTACGTTCCGACCCTCACATGTGGTCACGAGGTTTGGATCAGGTCCGAAAGAATGAGATCCTGGATCCAAGCGGCTGAAAAGAGCTTCTTTCATATGGTGACCAGGCTCAGCCTTAAAGGTTGAGGTGCTCCATCGTCTGGGAGGAGCTCGGAGTAGAGCCACTGCTCCTCTGCATCGAAAGGATTCAGATGAGGTGGTTCAGACATCTGATTAGTATGCCTCCTGGACACCTCCCTTTGGAGGTTTTCTGGATATTTCCCAATGGAAAGAGACCCTCTGGGCAAACCCAGAACTCCCTGGAGGGATTGCATGTCCTCTCTGGACTGGGAACACCTTGGGGTCCCCCAGGGAGAGCTCATGAGTGTTGCTGGAGAGAGGGAGGTCTGGGTTTCTCTGCTGGATCTGTTGCCTCTGCCACCTGACTATGGATTAGCTAAAATGGAGAGCTGGAGTAAAAATTCCTGAAATTCTTGTGTCCTTTTGTTTTTTTTAAACAACCCCTCCAGGAACACTGGATCTCCCCCCAGAACGCCACCAACATCAAGCCGATGCACCCTACTTCCATCCATGGCGTGGAGGACATGATCCGGCTGGGAGACCTCAACGAAGCCGGCATCCTCCGCAATCTTCTCATCAGATACAGAGAAAAACTCATATACGTGAGTATTACCACCCGAGTTATCTAGATTCACAAAATATGTCTACATTTATACCTTATTTATACATAAAACACAACTTTAAAATAATTTAATTTCCTTTTAATTTGATCTGCATCAAATGCAGTTTTTAACTATGTGTTTATGTTACTGAAATGTTTTTATTTAAGAAAAGAAATAATAAAAATTAATCATCATGTAGATGAATGTACCGTAATGATCCAAAAGGCTGATTTTAATTGAAAGTCTTTGTGCGGGCTCTAATTAGAATTACAAAATAGTTCCCTGCTGTTATTGTTGAGATGGTTTCCAATAATCCAGTAGAATTATTTGTTCAGATTTGTCCAAAATAACACATTTGGCTATATCTAAAAAATAATACCATATTTATGAACGAGTACAAATTGTGTAACAGTTGTTACTTGGATAGAGAACTTTACTAATTGGCTTTTCTATGTATGTGAATGTTCCTGTAAAGTGCCCTGAGACAAATTTGTTGTGATATGGCGCTATATAAACTGAATTGAATTGTTAAAGCTGATTGTGCTGTCATCATGCCTGTTGGTTTAGACATGCTTGTGCTTTGACCAGTGATTGTGGAGGTTTGTCTTTTCCAGGGTCATTTTCTGGGTCAACAGCTAAAAACTTTCAGCTCATCTAAACAATATAAAAACACATCGAGATCAGATCATTCATGATCATTCCATCTTCAAAACACATGAAAAACATGTTTTCTTCTACTTGTTTTTTTGTTATTATTGTTTTTCCGTATGTTTTTTTTTTGTCTAACCAACGGTTTCTTCACCCTTTTGCTATTTGAGCCATTAATATATCAAAACATTTGGCTCCTTCAAGAAATGGGTGCTATGATTTTTAGATATTGTGAATTATATATACAGTATATATATATTTAAAATTTAACTTCATTTACAAATATTTCCCCATAGAAATGCATTGAGATCTCTTGAATTCTTTCAAAAACGTTTAGCTACTTTTTGCTTTAAAGTAGCTTTTAGCTCCTTTTAACTTTTATAGTGTGCTTTTTTTATACATGAATGTTTCTGTTCAGTGCCCTGAGATGACTTCTGTTATGAACTGTATAAATAAACTGGATTGAATTGATTTTAAGCTACTTGCTACTTGTTTAATACTATAAATGAGCCTTTTGCTACTTTTATTTATTAGTTACACTTTTGATAAATTAGTTTTATTTAACTTTTTGCTGCTTTAAGGGAGCTTTTTGCTACTTTTAGTTACCATATACTACTTTATTGCTAGCTTTTTGATTTACATTTACTTTTCCTTTTAATTTTTAGTCAGTCTTCTGCAATATTTGGCTTATTGCTAGCCTTGTGATACTATTAGCTAGCCTTTAATTACCAGTACTTTAGCTCTTAGCTAACATTTAGCAACTTTTAGCTTCCACTTTACTTTTATCTAGATTCCCCTTTTTCTGCTTTAATGTACCATTTTGCTGGTGTTGACTTCTAATTGCTATTTTGCTATCTTTAGCTTTTAGCTGGCCTTTTGCTATTTTTAACAAATGTTCTGCTGCTTTTCCATCAGTTTAAGCTTTTTTTTTTTAGTAAATTATTTCAGTCCTTTTGCACTCACACAGTTTTAACATTTTTGCATAAATTGTAAACGTGCTCTCAGGTAAAAACATGTTTTTATATCATGTAAAGTTCATAAGTTTGTTTGATAAATCTGCATGTGAAATAAATGCACAATCTGTGTGTCACATGTCATTTAATAATTTACTGTGAACGCCACACACAAAGGTTTCTTAGTTTTTCTGTAAAGTCTGTAACATTTAGTCTTTGCTTGGACCTTTAATAGTTTCTATCCACTCCTTTCTTCATCATTACACTGATTCAACTTCCTGTTTGTGCAGCTTTATGCTAATTTCTCTTTTACTTTACTTGTCTTCTTTTTTCTTCGTCATTTTCTCTGAAGACAAACTGTGGTGGAAGGGTAAGTCAGTTCTTTGACTTAAAGCATGGCTGCAGAAAACAGCTGACTCAGCTGATAAAACTGCAACAGTAGCATGAAGTAGGCGTTCACCTGGAAACTGCATGTATGTTAAAAACGTGAAACAGTGCAGGTTACTTTTTTGTTGCGTTACTTCATTTGAGGACATCACGTTCCTGCAGAATGAGTCAAAAGACTTTAGGACAGACTCAGAGGTCTCACCCAGTACTCAAACTCAGCAAGGCAGCCTGGGTGCCTGTTGATTTGTTTCCAACATGGCCGTTTGTTCTGTTGTGGCAAATACGTTCTCATCATCTCTAAGAACTGAGTGAACTCATCTACAAACCTTCTGCTCTGTCCCTCCAAAATAACTAACTTTGATGTGTTTAATGGTCTTTTGGTTTAGTATTATATAAAACCACTACTATATGGTCTAAAAAAGGGTTATTTTAAGTTTTAATAGGCAAAAAGAGTAAGAACATCACTGTGCATTATTTGGTGTATAAACTCATACAGAGGTTAAACTTTTAATCCACGTTTGAATTAGGATAATAAAGTGAAAAGTTCACTTTTACAAAAAGGAGGCAATCACAGTCCTTTTCAAGATAGTCCTAAAGTTTTAAAAAACCTAATTTGTTACTGCTTGGTAATCAAAAACCTTCACCTGAAGGCTCCCACCTCATCTTCCGATCTGTATGTCTAAATAACTTGTAGTATGAAATCAGATTTTTTTTAACTCTTCGTGTTAGTTGATGATTTTTCTCCTGTGTGCAGACGTACACAGGCTCCATCCTGGTGGCCGTCAACCCTTATCAGCTGCTGCCCATCTACTCTGCCGATCAGATCCGTCTCTACACCAACAAGAAGATTGGTGAAATGCCGCCTCATATCTTCGCCATTGCAGATAACTGCTACTTTAACATGCAGAGGAATAACCGGGACCAGTGTTGTATCATCAGGTAGGAAACAGTTAATATGAAAAGTTCTCAGGTCAAGATCAGAAACAATGGTCTTACTTTCAGCCTCAGAGAAGATAAAATCTGGCGATTTATGAGGGAATATATGGAAATACTGAGCAGATTAGTGTGTTGGTCAGAGTCTTTATGACTTTCTGATCAATTATCAGGTCATCATCAGGTCAAACTTCATATTTTGTTATAGCCATCTATAACTAAACAGGTATTTAGACAAAACACAGAACAAGACTAGAGCAAAACAGTTGCCGCACAAAAGGAAACTAAAAATTACTGTTCCAACTTGATTCTGAGAGCAGATTGTAGTTTTATGACTTTATGATTTTTTTGTTTTAATTTTTGGCATTTCAGTGGAGAGTCTGGAGCAGGAAAGACAGAAAGCACCAAACTGATCCTGCAGTTCCTGGCAGCCATCAGTGGGCAGCACTCCTGGATAGAACAACAGGTTCTGGAGGCCAACCCTATACTGGAAGGTAGGAATATATCAGGTACAAGCTGTTAGAATATACTGTTGGATAACAGGTGCATCATTTTAAGACTTTTCTTTGCTTTCCTTCCATAAAACAGCTACAGATTAATTTTAGTTGCACTATTTCTAAGAAGAATTTCTCAGAATTGTTTTGTTTTTATTTTTTTACCCAAATATTTTTTTATTTTGTTATTGTTCAGTACTTTTGGTTTATTTAGGACTTTTTTTTTGCATTGAAAGCTTCATTGATCATGTTATAGGTTGACAGTTACGATCTTGTCCTCCTTGACCTACATGACGTGTTAGAATGTGGCCTGGTTGCAGCAAATTTGGAAAAGCTTCATTGTGAAGGAAATCATGATGTGCACTGTTAGTACTGTCACATAAATGTTTCTGCTATTTTCTGCACCCCCAACACGGTCTATATGTCTGATCTGGTAAAACTTTCTCAAAACTTGTCAGGATGCAGCTACACGGAGAAAATCACATTACAGTACCATGATGCTTCTGCCATGGCACTCATGTTTGGGCTAGGTTGTTTTCATGACATTGTTGCTATTGTTTCATTATTTACATGAACGCTCCTACAAGAACCCTGCAGATGGTGAATGCTGTCTATCATGGTGCAATAAGATTCATAACTGGCTGTGATTATCGTACACACCACTACACCCTTTATTCACTGATTAACTGGATGGTCATCATTAACTTCACGCAGACTCTCCCACTGGTACATTTTCATCTTAAATCACTTCTTGGTCTGCCGCCTTCATACATCTCCTCCTACATGTCTCTGCATGAGTGCAGCTACAGCGTGCATTCTCAGGACATTATTACTTACAGAGTTCCCTCAGTGTGGACTGAACTTGGCAAAAGGGCCTTCTCCTACTCCGCTCCTGTTTCCTGGAATATCTTGCAAAAAGACCTGAAGCTCTCGACCTTGACCTCTCTAAGGGGCTTTAAGAATCTGTTGGAATCCTGGCAAGGACCAATGCAGACATGTTCCTGTTTTTAGTTTTCTACATTCGCCTTATAATCTAGCTGTTTTGTTACTTTTTTTTGCCATCTTATTTGTATATAAAAAAATATGCCTTTTTATAACTGTCTATTGTTGTCGCTGTTGTCCATTGTTGTCATCATTCTTTGTTGAAATCAGGTCTCTCTTGTAAATGAGTCCTCGAGGCTCAATGGGATTAACCTGTCTAAATAAAGGTTGAATGAGTATCGTTGCTTATCCTAAGGCAGTGGAGCTCATTCCTGGTCCTCAAGGGCCACAATCCTGCATGTTATTGATGTTTCTCTGCTTTGACACAACTGATTTGAATGAAGGAGAGATTAACAGGCAGTAGAATTTGAAGTCCTGCTGAAGAGCAATGAAACAAGGAAAACATGCAGGATAGTGGTCGCCAATGACCAGGATTGTGTATCACTGGCCTAAGGTGTGAGGCCATTATGGCCATGCAGTTTATTTAGGTTCTATGAAAAGTCAGATGGCACTCATAGCTTTCCTTAGATCCATGTCATCAATCTGCTGCTACCACTGCCCCAACGTTCCAACCACAAACCTGATGCGCTGCCAGTATTACAAACTACCACAAACTCACTTTCAAAGTTTTGTACAGGTTCAAATGTGGACAATTCACATTCTGGAGGATTTTTTTTACACGTCCACTAAAAGGCAAACATACTGTGGTATTGTAGTACAATATTTAATAATTTTGCCAACATTCCATTAGTACATTTGGCCCCACATTGGGCGCCAAATGTTGTTGCCAAAACAACGTTTTCATGTTACGTCTTTTCATAAAAAATAAAAACAATAGATGACACTGAATCTCTTAATTACAGCAAAAATTGGGGTTTATTGAAGAGGTGCAGAAAATGGAAATTAGCCAAACCGTGTCAGAGTCCAAAGAAGAACTCCCCTTTCCCTATAGATTTTCACAAAGCATTTATATTTTTCTTATCCCTTGTGCAACAGCAGCATTTACTTGTCACTCATACACTCAATCAGAGAGGATGTACTGGGTCAGGTCCTCAACCCAGACTTTATGAAATCTTTATTTCTATCTATGTAGGTTCACCGATAATATGTCATGTCTTATTACACTGCCTGATTATCAAAATGCTACTACAGTATAGTATCTGTCCATTCGTCAGGTTCAAAGTCAAAGTCACAAATCAATTTCAAAGGTTACACAGGTTTTTGCTTGTCCAGGCCATTACTATATATATCTGTAGAACAGCTTGTTGATGAGCGTATAATGTGCCGTATGCGATAGTCTTGCTTTGTCTTACATGTCTTCATCCAGTGTGAAAGAAGCCTGAGAGAATTCATGCTCCATTTTCTCTCTGCTTTTCAACCCTCAAATAGTCTCTCTGATGAAATACAAACCCTAGAAATGAAGACAGCAATAATTCAATTCAACTCAGTTTATTTATATAACGCCAAATCACAACAGAAGGCATTTCAGGGTACTGCACAGAAACATTCACATACATAAAACATAAGTTAATAATGTTATTTAGCTAAAGAGCCATAGTACAATAGCAATAACACTAGCATTATATGACTAACACAAAAACAAACGAACAATAAGAACCAAAATATTTTTTCAAAAATTGTTTTTTTTAAATAAAACGATTAAACTTGAAGCTACTTCATACATGCCTATTCCTTTATTTCCTCTGGTTTCTGTTGTGTCTTTTCAGCTTTTGGTAATGCCAAAACAATCCGCAATGACAACTCATCTCGTTTTGGAAAATACATTGACATCCACTTCAACAAGAGAGGAGCTATAGAAGGAGCCAAGATCGAGCAATACCTGCTGGAGAAATCCAGAGTCTGTCGACAGGTATGCCTAAAGAACAAACATTAAAAAACATGGATGGTTGAGTAAATAAATCCAGCAGATTTCACAGTTAAAAAACAAAGTAAAAGAAGTTTAAAAGAATCTGACACGATAAAAACATGGGACTGTCTGAAGGTTGATGCTTCTCTGTCTGCAGGAGGTAAAGATGACATTATATGTACACTTATTTTTTGTCTCTGTAGGCTCATGATGAGAGAAACTATCACATCTTTTACTGCATGCTGAAGGGCATGACGGCAGAAGAGAAGAAGAAACTGGAGCTGAGCAAAGCCACCGACTACACCTACCTGACCATAGTGAGTACCACCTCACCCTCAGTCAACCTCAGACAGTTATAGTAGAGCGGATAATGGATAAGAACATCAAGTCTGGTACGATAAGTTCATATTCACTCTTTGAGGAGTTTGTCAAATTTGCCTGACTGGCCGTTAGAAAATCCTAAATATACGTCTTTTTTCAGGCAGCACGGTGGCGCAACTGGTAGAGCTGCTGCCTCTCAGCGAGCAGGTCCCTGGTTCAAACCCCGGTCCAGTGGCCTTTCTGGGTGGAGTTTGCATGTTCTCTCTGTGCATGCGTGGGTTTTCTCCGGGTGCTCCGGTTTCCTCCCACAGTCCAAAAACATGCATGTTAGGCTGATTGGTAACTCTAAATTGTCCCTAGGTGTGAGTGAGAGAGTGAATGGTTGTTTGTCTCTATGTGGCCCTGTGATGGACTTGCGACCCGTCCAGGGTGTACCCCGCCCCTCGCACAGTGATTGCTGGACATGGGCACCAGCGACCCCCGTGACCCAAAATGGAATAAACGGGTAAAGATAATGGATGGATGGATGGACGTCTCTTTTCAAGATGGCTGTCAAATTGAGTTTATTTCTACACAGTAATCATACATTGATGTAATAACTTCATCAATTTGAATGATCTTATTGTCAGTTTATGTTTTCCTCTGTCAGTAGACGTGTACTGTGCAATTAAGCAACATTTGGGATACTAAGTATAAGACTGATGCCTATTTGTCTGGAAATGAACCTGAAGCTGGGGTTCCCTGCAGTAAATGTTACCAGCACGCCCTGGTAGTACTCGCGGGTGGCTTCATTGATCATCACATTTGATTTGTTTATAGCTGATGTACGTTGAATTTAGAATTAGAACCTCACCCAGTTTCATTGTGGACAGGTCCATCCAGAAGATGTGGCTGAAACAAAGATACCACCTCTACGGTAGCACCCTATGCCAACAAAATATTGTTTTTACACAATAATAAAAATGTACCATCATAGTAAAGGTTACAAACCACATTTCAGGAACCAGAATAGACAGAATAAATAACAATTTTACTGTGTACAGTTTTAAATCCTTATTGCCAAATTCTTAAAATAAAAGTTTAAAATATCTATAAAATAGCAAATTATAATAAAAATATTTACTTAAGGTTCATGAAACAAACAACAATATTTAGCATATTAGAATCCTTGAAAAGTGACACCAGGCACGCACACACTAAAGCCCCCAGTATACTCCCACGTACGTTCGTTCACACGTACGTATGCATGTACTTTACGCAGAGGATTCAGACTTCAGACTCCAGCGTACACCCTGAGCAGCTGCAGAGCAGCTTCACAGACAAGGGGCGTTTACCTTCAGGACAAATTGAGGTTGCCGATTGGTCATTTGCTGACACGCCTACTGGATTCATTGACAGGTTGGGGAAAAAAAAGCGGTGTTCTGTGTTTATATGTTAATAAAAAGATCTTTAAAAAAACAACAAAAAAAAAACATGGAGCGCTAGCTCTGCAGCCCAAACATCAGAATAGCCCACCAGGAAATCTGAAGAACCTCCCGCAGCCATGCTGAACCTGAGTTTAATTCGCTCGTGACAAAATTCCTTCATTTGTCACCATTTCAGTCATGGCATCAACAGAGGAGGAAGAGATCACTTGCCTCTTGGCAAAAAAAAACAAAAGAAAAGGCCAGATCAGGGATGAAGAAGGGGAATTTAATACATTGGTGTCGCATACAAAACTGTCTGTCGCCATGCAGTTTATTGTGGGACACCACGTACGCGTATGCGGTCGTAAAAATTGAGCTTTGTACAGACATGCCCTGGGGGAGTACGCTTGTATCTCGGCGTACGTACGTGCGGACTGGCCATCGGGAGCGCCGGGACACTTCCCGGTGGCCTGGTTGCCGAGGAACGGGACTAAAGGCTCGGTTCGGGTCGCACGGACTTTATTATTTTAAATAAGCAATTCACTTTTGCCTGGGCTCAGGTCTCACGCTGCACTGCAGCGACGGAGAAAGCCTGGCACATCCCCCGGCCGGGCCGGCCCCCTCCCTTCCTTTTCTGTGTGTCACAGAGCAGAGACACACACACACACATTGCGCCCGCCCCCCTCCCCGCCCTAGGACTCGCGCTCCCGACGGTGTTGGCGCGCGGTGCGTGCATCTCTGAGTTGTAGAATGGAGCAACAGAGACAGCCAAAGAAGAGGAAAGGTGGAGCAGAGAGAGAGAGAGGATAAAAAAGAGAAAAGCTCTGGCCGCGGATGCTGCTAAGTGCTATAAATTAATGTTTGTTCGTAATGGAGCAGGTAAGAGAAACACTTGTGTTGAAAAAATTGAACTCTGGCACAGTTTATCAGCACAGCTTAATATCCACATGCTAGCTTCACTTTGAGGGACCTAAGTGGGCCAAAACTGACTTAATATAACAAATGTTTTTAAGTTTTTACAAAGAATATTGCAAATTTTATAATATGGGTTAGGATCTGAAAAAAGTTTAATGTTGAAATGTCTAGGAATTCAGATTTTTTTGTATCTAAAAAAGTTAAGTCAGGTCCTCTGGACAAATAAAAAAAAAAACTTGTTGAAACTTTTGTCTTTAATCCAAAAAACTAAGTTCAGTCTGAGGAGTTGCAACAAGCTCAGTTTCAAATAGCCTCTTCTCATAGTGGATCAACCAGTTTGTTGTTAACATCCAGAACTAGCTGTTAACATAAGGAAGACCTGCAGCCTAACAACCCCTAATAATGGTTTCTTTTCACAAAGATGGCTTCCTTTACTCCTCTCTCAAACCATAGTTCCTCTCTATCAAGGATGTGCACATCTTCATCCCTGAAAGTGACTGCTGGCCTGCAGATGAGTGTAAACTGCCGAGTCTTGGCCTGAAGATGTTGCTCTTCTGTGCTGGGCCAAAGAGCAACATCATCAGGCCAGGAGAACTCTGTGGTTTACACTCATCTGCAGGCCAGCAGTCACTTTCAGGGATGAAGATGTGCTCATCCTTGATAGAGAGAAGTGTTGGTTTGAGAGAGGAGTAAAGGAAGCCATCTTTGTGATGAGAACTCATCCATCATTAAACAGGGACAGAGGCCTCTGTGTCCAACTGTAGCCCTCTTACAATGCTGTTATTGCTGGTATCTCTCAGCCCCCTGTGAATAGCAAACAGCCTAGAGCACTAACGATCCATTGTTAGGCTGATGATGGTCCTCCTTTATCATGTTAACAGCTAGTTCTGGATGTCAGCAACAAACTGGTTGATCCACTATGAAAAGAGACTATTTGAAACTAAGTTTGTTGCAGCTTCTCAAACTGACAGTCTTTTGGATTAAAGACTAAACGTTTCAACAAGTTGTTTTTTTTTTTTAATCTGTCCAGAGGACCTGACTTAACTTTTTTAGATTTTCTACCTGGAGCTTGATTAAAATAATGATAAAAGATAAAACATGAAATCCAACAATACCCTTCATTACTCCAATAAATTATCTGAATATTAAAATCCTTGTATTACAATATTTTATTTAAACTTTATTTTACCAGGTAAAGTTCCGTTGAGATTAAGAACTTTTTTTTTGTTATATGAATAGCCAATACATATAAATAGTCAATAAGTGAAAATGAATAGATGGGAAATTATGGATGGCTTTTTAGACGTGTGCAAACAACATGCATTCAAAGTGCGCTCAATTGAACTCAGTCTTGGTGGTTTGCGTTAATCAGGTGGTGGTGGCCTGGGATGGTATCAAAATTCCCGGCCTGGATTATTGTCCCAGTCCGCCCCTGGACATACGCGAGAGTATACTGGGGCACACACACACACACACACACACACATACATATATATATATACAGGTCCTTCTCAAAAAATTAGCATATTGTGATAAAGGTCATTATTTTCCATAATGTAATGATAAAAATGAAACTTTCATATATTTCAGATTCATTGCACACCAACTGAAATATTTCAGGTCTTTAATTGTTTTAATACTGATGATTATGGCATACAGCTCATGAAAACCCAAAATGCCTGTCCCAAAAAATTAGCATATCATGAAAAGGTTCTCTAAACAAGCTATTAACCTAACCATCTGAATCAACGACGTAACTCTAAACACCTGCAAAAGATTCCTGAGGCTTTTAAAAACTCCCAGCCTTGTTCATTACTCAAAACC